GTCGTAGGGGTCAAACTGGGAGCGCAAACGTCAGCATATGTCTCGGGGGGCAGACATGGTGCCAAGAAAGGCAAGAAGCAAATGCCAGACGGTCCTACCTCGTTCTGCACGAGATCTTTGATACGCCTTCGGTCCCGCGCCGGCAGCTGCATGACCTCGCCCTTCAAGCGCCGCTCGGCGGCATCGCCCGACACGGGTTTGCTGCCGGTATTCGTGGCGGGCTTGTCGTTGGCGCTGACCCAGGGGGCGAGCCCCTGGTCGGGCATCTCTCTCGTGACATTGCCGTAGATGGCGGCGACGAGCTGGTTGTGTAGGTGCTCCCTCTCGCCGCCGGGCGATTCGAGAATGGGGTCGATGCGCTCGGCATACTCGGCCTGGTTGAGGCGGCCGATGAGGAACTGGGTCAGGGACTCCTTGTAGATGACCCAGTGCTCGGCGCCAATGGCCTGCTTGAGGGCTGTGTATAATGGTTCGAGATCGATGCGGGCGGGGATGATCTGACTCGTCTTGCCGGTCTTGAGGGCGCCGGGGGCCGAGACGGTGATGGACTTGTTGGAGAGGACGGGGGTGGTCAGGCCGATGGCGGGGCGGCTCAGAGCCGCGGGGTCAATGTCGGGCATGGCAGCGAAAAGGCCGCGCAATGGACACTGGAAGAAGTGATGAGGGGGGGTTCAATGTCGATTTCGAAGGACAGAGATGGAGAGGCGATGGCTCGTTGTTGCTCTACAGAGCGAAGGCGCGTGACAATGGTCGAGGGTGCAATGGTCGAGGCTAGGGGCGATGCTGGGGTCGGCAGTCGAGTCGCGTGCGGCCAGGGAGCACAGCGCGCCGCGAGAATAGTGTCATGGGCCGCACTGTTCGACAGAGGGTAGTGACGCGATCATGGGCAGCGGTTCAGATGGATGGAAGTGGTGTTCTGTGGTCGTGGGGTTGATGGCAACGGAAGGCGAGGGTTGGCGTAGAGAAGATGCGATGCTTTGGCATGTCGTTGGAATTTTGTCCGAGCTTCCAATGGCAGAAGCCCATGGCTTGCGCGACACTAGGGTAGGCAGGTGGGTAGGGCCTTCCGGGTGTGCAAAGGTACATTGCACTTGGGGTGTGCACGCACGACGGCAGAGGTACACGCTACATGCTACACGCTACATGCTACACGCTACATGCTACACGCTACATGCTACACGCTACATGCCCCTGGCCTCGCCTGTGGACGACGTTCTGGGCGGGCAGTCGCCCATTGACGCTCCCAGCCCCAGCGGCACCTCCCTGGAGCACCTGAAGCACGGCACCTCCCTGGAGAGCGGCACCTGAAGACGGCACCAAACATCAAGTCGCGTCCCAGCGCGTCGCCCAGTGTCTTTCAGGTGCCAACCACAGACCACAGGCGCGCCTCCCTCCACCAAGCTGTCTGGCACAGCGCATCGCGGGGCACCGCTTCGGTTGACTCGATTGACTCAATCTCAATCCATCACGTTGCTCTCCCAAAACCCCAGCTGCCAATCCCCGTCTCCGACTTTGGCATCCTGCCACTAAACATGTCATCATGTCCAGTCGCGAGCATCGCATCGCCAGCGCCGCCGATAGTCTGATCACCCACCTCGTTCCTGGCGACCCCGACGAAGACGACGCTGCCGCGCAAGAGAGACATGACAATTGTTACGACCTCGTCAACGCCATAATCTCTGGGTAAATGCAACCTCCAGCCTGATATCTTCCAACAACACCACCCCTTGACCCTCTCCTTGATCTCCCACGGTCCGCTAACCAGTGAACCCTCACACAGCCCCGCCTCCCCCGCCATCGCCTCGGACGTCAATCACGCCTCGGAGCTGATACGAAGCAAGCTCATCCAGAGCAACCCCAGCCAGGCCCTTCGCTTCGCCAACCTCTATACCCGATTGCTCTCCCTCCCTGTCCTCAACCAGAAGTGGGCCATCCTCTACCTCCTCTACCAGCTCTCCGACTCTCCAGACCCCAACGAACCTCTGCCCCTCAGCCCACTCCCACCAGCGCCGCGAGCCGCCAGCCCTCACGATGCAGCGAGGCGGCCCGACATCGACCGCGTGTCCGACCGCGTCTCCAAGACGTCGACGCCTGTGTCAAGGATGGAGGATGAGGCCTTCAGGGAGGCGTTCGCCCAAGAAGGCCTGAAGAAGTTTCCGCCCCAAAAGGCCGCCAAGAGACCCGCGTCAGACGACGAAGACAACACTGCCGAGAGTCCCAAGAGGACCGTGGCCCTCAAGTCGACTCTGCTGGCAGACAACTACACCGAGATCGAGCCTTCCGAGACGGCCCTGCTGCGCGACCTCCCCTTCACTCTGCAGGGATTGTCGTCCACCGCCCTTCCCTTTCCCAAGCAAGATACCCTTACCCTGCCGCCTACATTGCCTGCTCCCATCATCTCACTTCTGCACACCCTCGCCGAGCCGTCACTCCTCTATCGCAACCTCGACGCCTTTGTCAAGTCCTCCACCGAAGGCCTTCTCCGCCAGAGCCTGCGCGCAGCCATCAGCGGCGAGCTGCGTGCCTATCTGAGCCTCGTTGCCACGCTCGAAGGCCAGATCCGGCGTGCCCTTTCGACCCTCGACGAATCCGCCCCTAGGGGCGGCATCGGCAACGCCGGTGTGACACTCAAACGGTGTGTTGTTTGGACGAGGGAGGCCACCATGGGCCTCCGTCTCATGAGCCTCGTCGCAGAAGAGTCGGAGAACAAAAGGGGCGGTCAGCTGATCTCCTTGATCCACGGCTTTTCCGCCTCGCACGGAGACCCCATGGTGGCCGCTTTTGCAGAGAGGCTCCTCGCCCACGTTACAAGGCCTTTCTACGACATACTGCGCCGCTGGATCTACGATGGTGAGCTTCTCGACCCATACTGCGAGTTCTTCGTCAAGGAGCCCAAGCAGACCGACGAGCCCAAGACAGCGGCCAGCAGCGTCTGGGAAGACAAGTACGAGATTGACAAGGGCATGATTCCCAGCATCATCACCCAGGACTTTGCTCAGAAGGTTTTCCTCATTGGCAAGTCCCTCAATTTTATACGGCACAGCTGCGGCGACTCGCAGTGGGTGGAGAACTATTCCAAAGACGCATCCAAAGAGCTGCGATACGGAGACACAGAGACACTGGAAGCCTGGATAGACGAAGCGTACAAAACTACCATGAAACGTCTCATCGACCTCATGGCCAACAAGTTCCACCTCTATGAGCACCTCCAGGCTCTCAAAGATTACATCCTTCTTGGCCAGGGCGACTTTATCGCCCTGCTCATGGAGTCCCTCGCCGCCAACCTCGACCGGCCTGCCGGCGCGCAGTACCGTCACACGCTGACCGCACAGCTGGAGCATGCTATCCGCGGCTCTAACGCCCAGTACGACTCCCCCGAGGTCCTCCGTCGCCTCGACGCCCGCATGCTCCAGCTTTCCCATGGAGACATTGGCTGGGACTGCTTCACGCTTGAATACAAGATCGACTCCCCGGTGGATGTCGTCGTCACGGAATGGGGCAACCGACAGTACCTCAAGGTCTTCAACTTCCTATGGCGCATCAAGCGCGTCGAGTTCGCCCTGGCGTCTACGTGGCGCAAGTGCATGACCGGCGCCCGCGGCGTCCTGCAGACAGGGGATCCCAACGTCGTCCAGACGTGGAAGTCGACACGCGGTGTGCTCGCCGAGATGATCCACTTTGTCGGCCAGCTTCAGTACTACATCCTCTTTGAGGTCATCGAGTCCTCCTGGGGCGAGCTGCAAGACCGCATCCACCGCGAAGGCTGCACCCTCGACGACCTCATCAAGGCGCACACCCGCTACCTCAACGACATTACCCACAAGGGCCTCCTCGGCGCCAAGCGCACCGCCCGCCAGCAGGCCCCCGAGCTCAACCCCGCCGGCGAGGACGACCGCACCTCCTACCTCGCCCAACTCGGCGACCTCCTCCGCACCATGCTCACCTACCGCGACTCGGTCGACGGACTCTACTCCTGGTCCGTATCCGACTTTACCCGGCGTCAAGAGGCCGACGTGCGCTTCTCCACCCGTCACGCCGCTGCCAAGGCTGCCGACGACGACGACGACGACGCCGCCGCGGCGCCCAGCGGCACCTCGGCCATCGCCTCCGAGTTTCCCGCCCTCCACGACCGCCTGCGCCAGCTAGGCGCCTCGTTCCGCACGCGCCTGCAGATCCTCCTCGGCGACCTCGCCTACCAGTCCGACGTCGACATGCGCTTCCTCGGCGTGGCCATGAACTTCAACGACGTTTACCAGCCCGCGCGCCGCAAGACCAAGGCCGCACCCGGATCAGCAGCCTCGGACGCAAAGGCGAGCACATCGGGTGCCGCCGCGGGCAAGGGAACGAGGTAGGTAAGCGCAAGAGACTAGGCGCCCGTCTCAGGGCAAGGGGGGACAGGGGCATTGTATCCTCTCATGCTGAAAGGTAGCGGTCGGATTTCATGGATCACGAATTGTGCGAGGCGCAACTTTATGACTAGACTAACTTTGACTTTTCAATTTTTGACGACAGTACATGACCCAACCGAGCCGTGTCTTTGAATGTGTTTACTGCACCGAGTCCGTATGATTGAAAAACAAGAACAGTAAAGGGTAACCCCCTCTCGCAAGGCTTGAGTCGCCTGGAATCCTTTGTTTACTCGCGTGGTAGAGGCAGACGTGTCACTTTTGATCCAGAACGCAAAGTAGGTCGTAATCCTCGTGCCATTTCATCATAGAATCATGAGCTAAAGACGGCTCGCTCCGCGAGAACCCACCTGGCCAAAGATGATATATCTCGGTACCCTGTCCCTTGAGTATGGAGACAAGCCCTCCCTCTCTGCCTACTTTGACACAATTACTTCCACCACCTGGCACGGCATCCTCTTGACCGCTGCCCGTGCATCTTCAAACCCCGTCTTTCCTTCAACGAAGGAGGGACAAGTTGGACGCCACAGCGAGTGGCCTCGCGTGCCTGCGTCTTCGTCTGCACCGGACCACGGGCCGTGTGGGCCATCACAACCTCTCCTCTCCTCGTGAGCCGCGTTGACGTCTTCTTTCCTTCTGTTCCCGTTCCTTTGATGCCCGATCCGTTTCTTTTTGACCGTTCGCGATAGGTCGATGTCTCGACACAACTATTTCGCCGCCCCGCCGAGGGGCGCCCAAAGTCCAACACTCATGGTATTAGTCTATACACGCAAGTGACAAAAGCACTTGCAAACCAGCGGTCGGATGTGTCTCTGCTCGGCGCTGTTCGAGCAACACACCCTGCTCCGCAAAAAAAAATGGATGTCTGTTTTGTTCCCATTCTCAGAAAACGATGAGGAAACTAGTGTAGCGATGTCGTAGTAACGCCATCGTCATAGCTTCCCAGTGTGACGAGCATAATGGTGAAATCAACAAAGGGAAACCGGGTGACGGTTGACGTGCGCACATCGCTGGGAGGAAGAAAAACGCCGTTGCAGCCCAATGCCAGCCACCCAACCGATCGTAGGGTTGGTCGTGGCGTCGTCATGTCTCATATCAATATATGCTTCGCCATGGGTCGAAGCTCAGAGTACTTTCTACGGCACTCAAAAGATATTGGGGGGCACTGTGGAATCCAAATGATTCCTCCGCACCCTGCTCGAGGAGGAAGTAGCCAGAACGGTACAATTCAGATCCTCTTATGCGCTGATCAGCTCTGTTCAAATCAAGAACGTTGCACAAGCTCAGTATCGTAATGTTGTTTAGTTGAGGTGAAGATGGTTTCGTCCTTCACACGTCGGTCATTTCTGTATCCTCATCAGAGCTGATAGTGGCGATGTCGCCAGGTCCCCAGACGCCCTCGAAAACCGTGGCAGCTGATCGTCGGCGATCAGCGACCCAAGTCATTCCGGCGGACCCCAGAAGCTGCTGAATCGTGGGGCGCTCACTCGGCTCAGGCTTCGTCATCCATCGGACGACCTGGTCGAGTGAGTCTGGGTGGAAGGCGTCACACATGAAGTCTGGTGGAGACAACAGCTCCGACCGCTTAGGCGAAGAGATAGGGCTGCTGCCTGCGTGGAATGGCGGTTTGCTGAAGGAGTTGTTGAAGTTGACGGCAATGTCCGAGACAATGCTTTGGTTCAGCGACAGGTCGTCATGCGACAGACCGGTCGGAACGCCAGCCACATCTCTGATCTGCGTCGCAGAACTCGCGCTGAAGGTCAGGCTCGGGACTTCGGAAAAGTCACCAGAACGCAGCGCGACCCAGGCAGGACCGTTGTCTGGGAGGACAACGTTGCAAGCCATTTCGACGAGAATAAGACCTAGAGAGTAGATATCCGCAGGCTTGTCGAATTTGCCACGCAGAATCTCGGGTCCGATGTATTCTCGGTCGCCTTCGGCGTCAACGCCCTTCGCAGCAGGCCATGCGGTCGCCAGTCCGAAATCACCAATCTTAAGGATCCCCTCAAATGTTATGAGGATGTTAGCAGGCTTCAGGTCCAAGTGGATGAAGCCAGCGTCGTGAATGCTCTGCAAGCCCTGCAGTTCGTGTTAGATGGTACTCAATGATGAGTGTTGAAAGATACGTACCAGGCTGATGTCGTGTATGACCTTCCAGATGCGAAAATCGTCCAGCCTGCCCTTGCAACCAACGTTGCTCAGGAACTTGTCGAGAGTTCCCTCGTCGCAGAATTCCGTCTGGATGAACAGATGGAGCTCGTGCTCCCAGCTGTCCACATAGTGTATGACGTGATCGGCGTGCGTCAGAGCTTGAAGTGCGTGAACCTCCCTCATCTTGTTCTCGCGATCTTTGGGGCCCATGATGGGGCGGCGTGCCTTCTTGACCGCATAAATGCGATCAGGCTCAGGGCTACCAGGAGAGTGGCGGCTAGGGGTGCCGTTGAAGATGGAAAGGAACGAGGCGCGGGCCGAAGTGCACTTGACGACACGGAAGACCGAGGAGAACTCGCCCTTGCCCACCAACTCGACCTTATCAAAGCGCGCGTAGAGGGAATCGTCAATGTCGCCATTGCCACGGCCATTAACCGGTGTCATGAGCTGAGTACCGACGGACTGGAATGATTCGCGCCCAGAAGGTGTGACGGGGGGCCGCACGCCTTGAGATGGTGTTGATTCGTGTGCGTTGGAGATGGACAGACAGCTGGCGTCAGGAATGATGACGGCGGCCTGCGGTGTCCTGGGAGTATGCTGCTCGACGGGGCTGGCTGAATGGAGGCATGATATGTTAGTCAACAACTTCTTCGGAGATTCGAATGCCGAGGTCCTGATCCGAGTTCGCAGGGGCGAGGGTGTATGAAACCCTTTTCTGGTTCTCGAACGGCCCAAGGACGGCAAAGCCAAGTGTAGGGAAGGGGTGGCAGCGCGGCAGAGAGGAGTGACAGAGTAATCTGGGAGTGCCGTAGATTGGTCTGCGTCATTCCGCGGGCTGCTGTGTCGCCTCGTATGTGGTGACTCACCAGTCGATTCTCGAGAGATCTCGGGTCGGACGGCAGAAAAGGGAATGCTGATGGATCGATTGGCGGTTGGGCTCTCGGCACCCAAGCGTCTGGCGGAAAGGTTACCGAAAGTCGGGGTGGTGCTCTGCTTGGTTGGTGTCGGAGGGGCGTCAATGTCAACTCCCAGAGGAGTGACATGGTTGCTCTCAAAGGTGAACTTCTTATCCTCGCCATCAAGACTGAGAAGGCTGCCCCTGCGACCGTGGCGAGGACCTAGGCGATGGAAGATACCGAGGCCCTTGCTGGAGTTGCCGAATCCATTGCTCGACTGAATGCTTGAGCTGAAGGGCGAGGCAGGGGGGTTGCCGAACGAAAACCGACCGCCATTCCTCTTCATGGCGCTTCCGGGCGGCGGCGGGTAGGTGGCAAAGCCGTGTGTGGGCTTCTTACAAGGCGTGTCAGGCATGGTGAGCTTTGGCTCCTCCTCAGGGTTTCGATTGACCTTGGAGACGAGACCCGTAGACATGAACGCGCCTGCCCAAGGCTTGACGTCCTTGAAAGGAGTCACATTATCGTCCTTCCGAGGGGGGGCGCCACCACCATAAGGCAGCGACTTGGCAAAATTGCTGGGGGCGGATGGTTTCGCAAAGACGGCCGGGAGTGCCTTCTCAACAATGATGGCAGGCTCCTCTTGCAGACTGTTGCCGCTGGATGAGGTGGTCAGCGTCTTCGATAGCGGGTGAGGCTGGTTGGACGAGCGATCGACCGGGTGTACAGAGGGGTTAGGGAGAGGAATGCTAGATGAGAATGGGCTGTCGCGATTGATTTGAGGGGGTAGAAACTGGTCGAGCGATAGGCGAGGACGGTTTTTGCCGTTGGGTGTCGAGAAGTCTCCGCTCATCTGAGCTAGATGGTTCGCGCCCGAACGACGGCCCCACGAACTTCGGTCATGCTGTCGCTGCTGAAGTGTGGATTTCCTTAACGATCCGGTCCTCCGAGGAATGGATGGTGCTGGCGGTGTGGGCGAAGGAAGCGGCTCACGGTGAGCGACGGAGCCACTGCCGAAAAGCTCGTATTCACGATTGCTGCTGGTGGTGTCGTCATGAATCTCGAAGCTCGTTGATGACGGGACGGGTGTCGAACCCCCAAAAATATTCGCGCCCGTCTCGGTATATCCAAAGCTCGCAATCCCGTGCAAACTGCGTCGTTTAGCCACGGGACTGCTGACATTCGGCTGGTCAAGATCCATGATGGCGTCGCTGCGCTTCAATGCGCCCGAACCAGCCGTTCCTGACGGCAGTTCAGAATTGTCCATGGCTCTGAAGATGTTCTGGTGCACAGAGCCGGAGACGTCGAGGTGAAGGCTGTGGCGGGATGACTTTTCCAGCGGTCTCCTTGGAATGGAACTCCTGGGAAGCGGGCTTCGTGGCGTGGTTGAGATGTTGTTGCTGTTGCTGCTACTGTTCTCCTGGCCGGGTGAGTCAGGACCCGGCATGGAACCCGGAACGTCTGTCTCGTTGGTAACACTCAGGGTACGCTTGAGGGGTGACTTGGGGGATGCTCTCAGCCTCGAGAACGGCCGGGGAGGTGTCGAAGATTGCTTTTTCGCGGAGCGCAGCGAGAGCTTGACATTGGGTGAGAAAATGGAAGACGCGGTAGGAGGGGGGTGTTGGGGAGTTGTAGACACGAAGTTGGATGAGGGTGTAGTCGTCACCGGCTGCTGTGATGGGGTTTGGCTCCTTGTGGACATGCTAGGGCTGTATCGGCGGCAAGGAGACCGATCCACGGGTGAGTGGGAGTTGTTTGGGGAGTCTGATCCGTGCGGGTGCGGGTTGGTGCGAGCGAGGTTGAATCTTGATGGTGATCGTGACAGAGACCGCCTCAGGCTCCTGACAGAGGTGGCCAGGACGTCAACGTGATGAACGTGGGTCGGGCTCGGCACGGTGAGTGTGCCACCACCGCCACCAGAGTAGGACATGGCTAGTGTGTGGACTTATTCGAGCTCAAGACGCCGATGTGAGGTTTGGGTACTGCGCCTTCCCAGACAGCGGGGATCAGGATGCGCAGAGTGCAGACAAGTGCAGACAAGTTACGAGGCAATATGTGCTCGTATCTCGAGATCTGCAAGTCGAGTATGTGCAATGCTCCTTACTGCTCGTCGGAGAATGCGAGCAAGATTGGATCGAGCTTCTGTTGCGGCTTCCTGAGACGCGGAGATGACTGTGAGCACGATCGTCGATGGTTTTCCAGTCGCTTGAGACTGTTCTGGCACCACGGGCGAGCGCGCAAGGATACGTATCTGCGATGTGCGTGTCGGCGCGCGGATACAGAGGCGGGGGAGGGTGGTGGTCTGTGGAATCTCTACCTGTCGAGGGCTCGTGCAAGATGTCGCTGGGAGGGTGATGTGAGGCTGGGGAGAAAAGAGAACGCGGCGCGTTCAGAGCATGGCGTGGGATCGCAAGCAGATCACAGGGGATGAGGACCCATTCCCTCCGTCAAGTGAAGCGCTGCTGTGTTGCTTCTCTGTTGGCGTATCGAGTATCCGATTGTCGATATCGATGCCGATGTCAATGTCGATGTCGGGCGGCTGCGCGCGGTCTTTCGAGGAATGCGATCGAGAAGGGGTTGGCAAGGTGAAGAGTTAGAAAGTCGAAAAGTGTCAGTCAGGTCAGGTCATGCCGTGGAACACTCCAGGTCGAGGAGAACGGAAATGGTAGAGCGGTTCAAGGTGGTGGTGGCAATGACGGGTGGTGCCTGGGGGGGGGGTGGGAGAGAGGGCCAGAAACTTGGACGTTGCAGAACGGCTAGCTGGCGGCAGGACAAAGGGGGCGAGGAGTAGTGGGCAGTAGGCGGCGGGAGATGGGACGAGATGTGTGTGCTTGTGTTGTGGTTCGGGAGCCAAAGTGGAGGTGAGTGTGCGTGTGCGGTGAGCGGATGCGCGAATGGGCGGCAGGCACGACGCACGATAACTGGGTCCTCCTGCCTTCGCGGACGCGCGACCTGGAGTCCCCTTGTTTACTCTCTTACTTGTTCTGGCTAGCCTCTCACGTGATGGCGCGATCCAATGTTATGTGGCATTTATGGGTCTCTCTTAGCACGAGACATGAGGTCCTGCCGTTGGACGTCGAAT